TACTCTGGGCTACTAAAGCTAATAAATGCAAACTCACTCACTGATGTCTAGTCAGAATCAACTCACAAGTGACCATCAGGTTTTTGGGAAGCTCTAACTGCATGGGAGGAAACTGCCCATCTTTCTTCCCACAGAGCTTTGGGTGGATTCAACTTCAGAGAGACTCCATCTTTGGTCAGCAGAGCAACTCCCTACAGATTAGGCCACCAGACCTCCCTAATGCCAAAAGACACCTTTACGTAACAACATATTCTCCTTTAAAAAACAGAACACAACAAAATGTTAAGATCTGCAGTCTAATTTTTGCATTTTGCATGAGTTAAGCAACTGCTGTCATAGTCTGATCAGCAAGGCAACAAAAGCAAGATGCTGCTCTGCTTCCTTACCTTCTAAAAGCTAACAGCTTTACTAGTAACAAAGTAATCTCTGAGAATGGCTTTTTGAGACAGATTTACTTAGCACTCTCCTTTTGTATGGATTAATTATTCGGGCAAGACAATAAGGGCACTGTTCAAGATGCTGATGCTTGGGATACAACACAGGAGAAAGCCAGGCCCTGCCTTTGGGACACTTACATGGTTCAGCTGGTTGAGGATATTGTGTGCAGGTCTACTTCTGATCACTTATTCTGCTTCTCCATATGTTCATGGCTCTTTTGCGCATGTACTATCAAAGAGACTTCAGCAGTTTTTACATTCAGGTTTGTGTGTACCCAATTAACTGATTTTAGATCAAGCCTTAACAGAAAGTCAGAGAAGCAATAGAGAGAGTTTCAATTAGTAAACATTGCATATTGGATAAAACCCAGAGCCTACTTGGGCACCATAAAATCAAGCTGCTTAAAATTTTCTATCAATACCCCAACCAATTCTTCTAAATAGAGTGAAGCTTTCTAAATTGAGTGAAAATCTCTAAAACCGTCCCCCATTACTACATTTTTATCTTCTACAATGAGTGTGTGTTCACCCTCATGCATGCGTGCGCACACACACACACAGTCCCACAAGAAACTAACCTATGAGAGGTTGTGTCATTTACAGAAACCATGTAACACGCATACTACATTTGTAGAACAGAGTATTCCTCAAGGTCTGTTCTTTTCTTTTTTTTAAATTACTTTTTGTGTGTTTACCGTCAAATCGGATCTGACTGGTACAGGAGGAGACTGCCCTTCCTTCTCCAGCAGAGCATCTGGTGGATTCAAAACACGTACTTCTGGGATTGCAGTGCAGCTTCTTGTCACTAGGCCACCAGAGCTCCCTAAGGTCTGTTCTTTTCAAACTCTTCCTTTTTTCAGCAGCAGAGTCCCTTTAATTCTTTTTTAAAAATTATTTTTACTATTTTTGTGCATGTCTATGTACTATTAAATTGGATTTGACTGGTACAGAAGGAGACTGTCCCTCCGAGCAGAGAATCTGGTGGATAGCAGAGCCCTCTTTAAAAACAATGTTTAATGGAAAATTTCTACATTTAAAATACATAAAACTTTGCTGAAATAGAAGACTGGTTTCTAGTCTAAAAGATGCTTCCAAGAAGCTAGAAGCATCTGAAGATCACTGTCCCCAGTAATTCTTTATCTTTTTTTTTTAAAATATAATCACAAAACCCTTGTTTTGAAACAGCACTTAGTTTTATATAAATTTGAGACTCCTGCATGGTAGGTATAGGTACTCTGTAATTCGGTACTGAAACTTCTAACAGGCGCACTTTCTCCAAGCTTCATTTTTCATCATCTACAAAATGATGCCCCTAGACGAGAAAACAGTTAACTCTGCCAGTGCCTGACTTACATTTCCTGATGAGGTCTATAGTAAGAGAACTGGCTGTTCTCCTGAGTCTAGGGCATGGACATTATGATAGTATACTTCTCCATGCCTGCAGATTTCATTTCAGGCTTCTGTGACCCTGTCTAAATAAATAAATAAAAAATAAATAAATTTAACACTGTTATAGGGACTGAGTGGTCCTCCAAAAAGAAAAATGTTATAAATCCTAGCTTGTGATAACAACCCAATTCTAAAAAGGATTGTCTTTGTTATGCTAATGAAACAGGATTTGTGCAGAGTGTTTTGAAGCAATCGCTTAGGATCTCCAAAGCAGCAGGAAAACAGAAGATGAAGCCTCTGGATGCTCTCTGAAGCCAAAGGAGGAATTCTCGACCTGAGTGTTAGCTCTGAGTTTTTGGACCTCTCGTCTCCTAAAGTATGAGAAATTAAGTGTGTTTGATAAAACCATTCACTTCCAACGAACTGACTAAACGAATTATCACTTCCTGGTTAATGTAGCACAAGATGACCAAATCAAATGCATTCTGCAAATTATTGCTATTATCTTCCTCTCAAAGCACTAGGAATTAGATGGCAGTGTCTTTATTTAAACACTTCAACAAGCTTAGCTTTCTTGGGGAAACAAGAAAACTATGTATGGGAAATAGTCTCTGAGAAAAAAGTGACAACTGCTAATGTTTGTGTTCTGCTTTTATTGAAGAAGGAAGCCCTCTACCATCTGCCCAATATATAAAACAAGGAAAAGTCCAGAGTGTGGCTATACCTCACAGGATTGTTTTGACAGCTAAATGAGCAAAATTCTTGCTCAAAATAAGTCTGCTCTAATTAAGACAAAATGGAAAACTCAGGTTTTTATGTACAGTGTTATCCTTCTCACCATAAAATCATTATCCTTGTCTAATTAGACTGATACTCTGTTCTATATTTTATTGCCTCTGATTACTTTATTAGCTTAAGAATCAGCAATGTTACGGTAAAAAGTAAAATGTTTTATGAGCATTTTTACAAAACTCCATAGACATTTCATACTAATTGTCAATTTTAAGTGCATTACTAGAAAAATCTCCATTTCCAAGTGGCTGACATAAAAGCAAAACTTTTTATAGTGAAAAAGGTTAAGAACTGCACTTGTATCCATTCTTTTGCTAACAAAGAATCTAAAATACTGGTAAGCCATATTCTAACAAAGGATGGCCTCTAAAGAACACAGAAGAGCTCTAACAAACTCACAGTTACAGCTCTTTTCACCACTACATAAAGGCAAGAAACATGCACCTTCACAGGACAGAATTGTGAGCGGGTAGACAGAGACCTTGTCCTAGAAAAGCATTGTTCTGCATGGATTGGCCTCTACAGAAACCACAGTTTTAGTAATAAAGGCCATTCTGTACAAGGAACCAGCAGTCCTTTTTAGGAAGAGCACAGGAAGCCACACTGAGAGGGGTTCTAGGTTCTCAAGGGCACCTTGCACTCTGAAAACCCTGGGGTCCTGCCAGTGCTCTAAGAGGCTGCTTCACTGAGGAGGTCACATCTTCCGGCTCCCATTCTCCAAGTGTTATCAAGCTGACAAATGGGACATACTCCCCCAATTTCCAGTCAAATGTACTTTTTTAGAAGTGCTTTCCCTTTTGTCACCCAACCCAAGACACAACTAATTTTCAACAGCACTCACTATTGCTTTCTGTAGTACACTAGAAAAATGCTACCAATTAAGTTAAAAACCGTTTTGCTAAAATTAATTCTAAGATAAACATTCAGAGATGTTAAATGGGAGGGGAAGTGTATCTTAAAATCCAGACAAGAATCCTGGAAGAAATGTCTAAGATCAACCATTCCATTTAACAAGAAAAAAAAATTTTCTGCAGAGGAGAAAACATGGATAAAGATCAGAAAACTGGGGTTCAATACAATCTCACTTTCAAGCAACCAAACTGAGTGATCTGAAGTCAGAGAACAGAACTGAAGCTAATCTGTTATCTGTAATTGGTGACTTTATACACCTCACAGGATTATTTTGACAGCTATATGAGAAGGTACTTTACAAAGTGTACAGCACAACCATGCTGTCAGCTCTCTCCTACTCATGCCACCCTGAAGATGTCTGAAGAAATTCTCCAAGGTAAGTTGAAGTTCTAAAAACTAAGCTCTGCGTTCTATTAACCAACACTCTATTCATGGCCTCTCTTTCAGAAAGAGGGAGATCAACAAGCGGGACCAACCCAGCGACTTCCACAATGGGCTCAAGCATCACCGAGGTCACAAGGATGGTATGGTGCAGGAAGGACAAGCAAGGTTCATATCTGTTGTTCACATGAATCATTGGTGACTCAATGGCATCAAACAACTACTACTCATTATCTCCAAAATATCTGAACTCGCATAAAAGTTACACAAAATTACTTTAACTGTTAAATATGAGGCAACTGCACATGTGGCAAATCAAAGTATCTACTACAGACTAAACAGACTTCAAATGTCTTACAGGCCAGTAGAAAATAATTAGAGAAACTCCAAGAGAAGGTAAGAAAGTTCATTCTGTACATTATCTTCAATGTCCTATCCAAGTTTCCTCATGATCATGAAGCTACACAAATCTTAATAACAGTGATGCATATTGTTTTATATGAAGATTTACTGTGCCTTAGTAAAAATAACCAAAAAACAACAACAAAAAAAAAAACACCCCACACAAATATTTTAAAAAATCAATTACAATTGACCTTGGAAGCCTGTACTACGTCCTACCCCCATCCACTGCAGTCAAGATTCCAAAAAGAAATTTTGACTGGAGATAGGAACTGCTCCCTAAGATGGCAATCAGCTCCACAGCGTTTGACAGGAACATGATGCTTGGGGTTCCTGAGAGCCAAGAGGGAATTTTTTTAAATTTTGTTTTTTAAAGGGTTGTCTTAGCAGCTCAAATCTGAGTTGTTCATAGGTCAACTATAAATGATTTTTGAACCAAAACATACAATTGCTCAATAACTGACTCTGCAAAATGCTTTGATAAAAGAGACTGCTCTGAAGACTAGGGGGGAAAATTATAAAAGTAGTTACAACTTCTGTGAAACAAAGAATAAAATCATCCATTGAATTAAGCAAATGACAGGAGACTCACAGTTCCTCCTCTAACAGCGTTAAAAAAAACTAATATATTATTATCTCATAAATTTAATCAGTAGCCAAACTTGGAACTTATTAGTAAATACGTACAGTTCCAGAGAGAACATCATGGGGGCAACAGTTGAGAAGATGACTCTTGCAAACTCTGTCATCACTGAATTTGATTCGTTGACGAGTGGTATCTCCTGTAATACAGAAAAGTTGGTAACATTCAAGGTTAGACAACTGGCAAGTATTTGTTTCCTGAGTGCTACTACTACTAGCCTTTTATGTGTGGCTCCATCCATACCCATTTGTAAGTCAGCTCAGGAAGGATTAGTTTTAAACATCCTACAGAAGAACTACTTTAGATAACATGCAGTTGCAGTAGGTATACTGCATATGAAACTCAAAAGTCAAAGTGGGAAAGCAACATCCTGTTAGAGGACTTCAGGACAGCACAGGACTCAGCAGGAATGGACCTGACAAGATTACTGAGTCCACTCCTTCATTCCGCAGGTGAGGAAACCGAGGCCCCGAGGTTGAGCTGACTGTGGAAAACCCTCTAGGAGCTTCTACGGTACAGTGTTCCCCTCTTGACATTAAGGGTTGGTTTATTTTGGAGTTATGGACAGTAACTGGAACAAAAAAGGAATCTGGCAAACATTGCATACACACTGCGAGTCCCCACTGAACCCCAGACGCCATTTCTTCCACTATTTTGTCCCAGCTGCAGTGTCTCCCTTTAGTTGCTGGAAGGGGTTAGAGAGGGTAAAATAAGGTGGTCAAGAGCGTACAAACCTGGAAGAAGGACTTACACCCCAAACAAAGGCTCACTGCCTACATGACCTGCTCGCCTTCATGCCTCCAAAGGTCCCACATCTCCAGATCTCAGGGAGTCTGTGCTACTGATGCCAAACTGGGTACAATGAAATTCATCCTCTCTTCATCTTAACACAGTTATCTCCTAAGCAACAGAAGGCTCCAACCTGCTTCTTAAACATGGCTAGCTACTCAAAACTTCAAGGAATCTAAGGATAAGAAAGGTAACTAGTTTAATAAAATACAGATATTATTTTCTTTAAAATCTCCCTATAAAAACAAAAGAAAAAACTAAGACCGTTTCTTCTCTCTACATAAAATGATAAGCCCTAAGAAACATGTTCTAGGTAACCTTCAAACTGTAATAACCCCTGATGTCATCAGTAATGTGTGAAAACCTACTGGTGAATTACTGAAGCAAAAAACATTTGTGGTAACAAAGGAAAGGAAATATTCCTGTACTTCCCATGATGCCTAGAGCATGCAAAAGACTCATCCTCATAAAAAAATTTTTTTTTTCATCAAGGAAATGAGTCAGTGACTTCAATCAATGTTTGTATTTTCACATGAGTAATTAAAAAAGTTACTTCTGTCATGGAGGGAGGGCGGAGAGATTTTGTTCAAAAATTGTTTTAACTTGGAAACTCAGGAACTAGGGCACATAAAATTTCATCAACAGTAAAATAAAGCTAAGACCACAGCTTCAGAGTAATTCGACAATAGGTTTTCTAGAGACTAGTCAGTAGGTTATTTCTGACAATCCCTGAATGTTCATGCCTGCTACTATAATAAGTTATTGTGGTGGTCCTTTTTGGCTATTTAACACAACTGCTTTTGTTCCACATTCATTAACACATCTGAAAAGTTGGTGGTAACTCACGGCTCGGCGAGCGCAGGGCCTTTCTGACACTCCCTTGCAGACTGAAGTAGGCAGGCATAGATACACTGAACCTTTACAAATAAAACAAGGGGCCAGATTGTTCAATTCGTATATGGTAGACTCTGCCAGCAATCTCAATACAGCATCTAGAAGTACATGTCGAATGTAAAGATTCTTGTATATAAAAACAGAAATGAACAGTCAAGTTGTTTTATTTTTTTTAAATACGACAACAGTCCCCTTCCCCACAAGAAGTCCAAGGCTGGAGTTCTGGAAAAGTGGTCCTAGTGCCAACTGGGGTTAAAAATATGCTTAAAGTGTGTCACACCAAGACTTTGGTAAAGGTCTTAATTACACAGTCCTACAAGCTAAGCTCACACCAGAATGGCAATGCTGCTTGATATCCAGTAATTAGTAGATTTAACAAAATGAAAAATACAAATTTTAATAGCAAAGGGGGGAAAAGCTGCTTAGATATATACAGGCATTTCCCTGCTACAAGTACCTGCGAAAACACCCCAAATCTACTCATTGCCATTGAGTCAGAACCAATTCATACCCTCCATTGGTTTTCCAAGGCTGTAAGTCACATGGGAAGAGACTATCTTTCTCTCAAGAGCCTGCTAGTGGATTAGAACTGTCAAAGAAGTAAAGGCTTTTGGTTACCAGCACAACTCCCTACAGACTCTGCCACCAGCGCTGCCTAGGCTTGGGTAATGCAACAGAAGGATCACTTCAGTGCTTCGCTAGGCCCAGGGCATTTTATTACAGCCCAGGCTTGGGGGGAAGACACCACAAGATAATCAAGCGTTTTCTAAGCAAATATTCCATCAAGCAGGGTGACTGGTTTTGCTTAAGAAATCATAACATTAAACCTGGTAATATTAAGATATACGTGCCCTAAATGAAGACACAATTATTTGATAAAATTTTAACAATTCCAAGTATAAACTCAATAGTACCTCTGATGAGCAGGGAATGTTCCATTAAGTGCCAAAAAGGATGTCAGAAAATAACTCCTCACTGTACATATGAATGGGTGCTTTGTAAATATTTAGTAACAATAGTAAGCAGAGTTTATTACAGACATTTTTAAAACAATAAAATCCTTAATAATTTGAGATACAGAACTACCATGAGAAGGACCAGAATCTGCATTTTTTTTTACTGGTATATTAATGATTTTATTTAAGGAACTTTAAGGATAACATTTTAAAGTAATTTAGCTACATCTTCATGCAGGATTTAAGAAACTGAGTTGGGTTCATGCCATGAAAGGATAATAGAATAACAAAGGATTTAAAAATAGAAATAGTAGTTATCTCACTTTTGTTCCCGATATGTGGCCCAAATCATGGTTGGTTTTTTTTTTGTTGTTTTTTTAAAGGGGGGGGGGGTCAAAACAGAAAAATGTACTACAAATAATAGGGAACAAATAAGAACCAAATCTCAAAATACAAAGCACTATTTTAGGTTGTACAGTACTATTGGGTTTTCTGGGCACACAGCTAAAAATAAACTGAAGCAGGGAAAAGAAATCTATGTTACCTTAAAATTGGATCAAAACTACTCTGTGATAGACATGGGAGTTTACAGAGGCAAACAAAACAAGGTCTCTACCCTCAAGAGACCAATAATTTTTCTGAAGAAACTGGACACAGAATGAAGAAACAGTAATAACATAAGGAGCATGATCCATGTGCCACATGAGTGTTTCAAACAGTACTTCAGGAACACCAAGATTATAATAACCAGTTAAGGACTGGGCGGGCTTAAAGATTTAATGTAAAATGTAATATAAGTAAAAACCAAACTTTGAAGAAGGATTTAGATCAAAGGATAGACAAGAGCATTATAAAATCAAAGAATAGCTTCAACAGGCAGAAAAGCTTGGGAAGAGAAAACAGTCAACTGAACTTTGACAAATAGCTTCATGTACAAGAAAGCAAAGCTGGGGCAAGAACACTTTAGGGAAACTTTTGTTGGTTTTTCCCTCATAATTTTTCTCACTTTCTTAAGCTTGATTTTAAAAATCTGTTGACAATGTGGGGGAAGGAGTGGGTACCCTGAAGAAGGATGGGGCAAAGAAGTGACCATGATTTAACAACTAACAGAAAACCCCTCCTGGAAAGCACAACAGTGTCTTCCTCTAACCCACAGAACAGGAATTAAGGCTCTGCCAATGCTACAATGCTAGGTTTTTCAGAACTTGGCAAGCAAAGTGGCTTTCATGTGAATGAAAAATGTTACTATTCTTTCTTATCAAACAACTATCTACCCAACTCTCTCACCTCCCTCTCCTGTGTTAAGCCACATGAGTTCCCTGAATTCGAAACTTTCTTTGGACAGTTAGTCACAGACGTACATTAACACTGGGACCTACGTTATTCTTTAGCATCCAACAGAACCTGCAGTGATAGTGAAACTTATGAGCAGTGCGCTGTCAAAGAGGGCTCCTGTCCAAACTGCACCCAGTGCTCCTCTCAAAATCCCTGCCCATCTGCTAGGAAGGAAAAGCAGCTCCAGAGTCATCCCTAAAGCTGTCATTTTATAGCCAGGCCTTCTGTAGGACTTAAGACTTAAATTTGAGTACACACACTTAAAATCTTAGCCTATAACGGGATCTGACATGCATCTTTCCCAACATCCACCCCCTCCTGTGTCACCCACCCAGATCTGCCTTCCCCTACAATAAAATAAACTTTCATATGGGCTAACCTTAAAACATTAAAATTTTACTTGATCATTCTCTCCGCTGTTCCTTATGTTTTCCAAGCTATGAGTGGATGAGCAAGCTATATGATCAAAAACTGTGAAGGCTAAGCAGAAGTAAACTGAACTTAGTATTAAAAATTTAAAGAAACTTTCAAGTTTGACACAGATGACATTTAATGGTACGCAGAATCCTTAACAGCATATTAGGCATTAATAGAAAGCAACTGTTTAAAATAAACCACAAGTATTAAGTACTTCTTTTTGAAGCATTAGTTTAGAGCTTACTTAAGGAAAGTTTGAGCAACTACCACACACAAGCAGATATAAGCATTATCTAATCCCTGAAAGGAGGCAGGAGGGAGAGGGAGGAAACTCTCTTCTTGGGCACATTAGTTGAGGACAAGGTTCACAAATGGCTTGAGGGAGGGCAGGTTCCTGCTTCCTGAAGTCAGAACTGTACTCCCTTACAGAAGAGAAACCCAGAACTAAAGAGGTATAGCACCCTGTCCCCTCAAACAGAGTTTCCCCTTCTTACACCTCGTTTCTTCCTGCCCATAGTGCGTAGTATTGAGGACACAGCAATGCAGAACTATAAAGACCCTCATCAATTTCTGGTCAGGAAGAGATTTTAAGCACTCAAACCAACCCTGTCTTCAAAGGAACCAAGGTAAAAGCAAGTGGCCTAGTGGTAAGGAGCTGCACTGCTAATCTAAATGCAAAGTGTTTCAAACTCACCAGATGCTCCAAGATATAAACATGAGAAATGTCCTCCTGTGCAACTTACAGCCT